GGCCCAGGAGGCCGTGCACCCCCGCTCAGAGTGGCAAGAGGGCGGGCATAACACCCACAAAGGCGTCGTTTCCGCGGCGCGTCCGTTAGGCGGTTTGCCTAACGATCACTTCAAGGCATCCCTCGAATCCGACTCGGGGATGGCCATAAACGCCCAAAGGACGCCGAGAAGGCACCCGCCGCATAACCAAGGCAAAACGCACGGGATAGGCAGGCCGCGAAGGCCCTAAAGGTGCAGCCCAAACCGATGAAGGACGCCCACAAGGCGCGCGAGCATGGCGAGACGCTGATGGCTGGCCATCGGAGATCTGCCCATCAAAATCCATCGACACGGAGATAGTGGCATCCGCCACGGAGACGCCCGGAGAAGGGGTCACCCAGTGGAGAGGAGAAGCTTGGAGGGGCCACAGCACGAGGGCGCGCGCTAGAACAACGTGGCGCTCCCTTGAGGGTGGTCGCAGTCACCCAAGGAGTGTGCAAGGATGTGAGCGCGAAAGTGAAACTTCCAGCACGCGTCCAAGTCAGGAAGGTGTAGAATGGGGCTGGTTTGTAATTTGGCTGTGTGGTGCAGTGGTGTGCATGTGTGTGCGTGTGCGTAATCTGTGTAGTTGCAATTCGCGGCTCCAAACTGGTGCTTTGGTCAAAATGCGCAGAAAATGTGCTGATGGGCTGCAGTTGCGCACTACACAAAGTGGCGGGCCGTGTCCTGCCAAAGGAGAAGGCATCAAACACATTTCTGTGTGCTCAAACTGTAGTTTTGGACACTGAATGTGATTTAGTTAGCACGTGGTCCATTCGTACGGGCAGTGACACCTTGGCTCTTGGGTGTTCATTCACAGCTGCCCCTTGATTTTGGCGGCCAGAACCGTATAATGAAAAAGACGCTCTTTAATGAACGGCTGCCACGAACAGTTTGCGTTTACGTTTGTGTTTGCGTTTACGTTTACGTTTACGTTTTGTTTTTACGTTTTTATGCATAAAGAGTAAATTTGCAAGAGGGCCTATTTTTGCGTTTTTGCGGCTTCCTGTTACACCCAGGCTACACGATGAAAGTTGCGTACAATTATCAGTCCTCCAGCACCCGCAACACAATGTCCACCTCTAGCCTTTGGCAAGGCGATGATGGTGTTTAACAAAAGCTCGTTTTCTGCCCCTTTCAGGGCGTCTGGCTGCCACTTCCCGGACTCCGTAACTCTGTATGTGCTGTCCTTGTGTACACCGGGCAGTTTTTACGTTGTATTTACGGACTTTTACGCATTTTTATGCGAAAAAACGTAAGGGCTCTTTTTCACATGTAAAAATGTAAATACGATCAGTTTTTTACGGCGTAAAACCCAAGCCTGGTTCTGAAATATATATGCAATACCTGCTTCGATGGCACGTGCTTCCAATGCTTCGCCCCTGGGGATAGGGGCTTCCTTGGCATCACTATTACCTCACGACCAGGCTTGGTATTTATGCTGTAAACACAGTTCGTTTTCACATTTTAACACGTAACATATCTTTTACGTTTTTACAAATAAAAACTCGTAAAAATACGTAAATACAACGTAATCACAGCCTCGTGTACTTAAAGATGGTACATACAGACTTGGCAAAAGTGGTAGTCAGACGCGCTGGAATGGGTAGAAAACGAACATTTGTTCCATGCCGTCTTGTCCTTGCCGCGGGCGAGGTGGACACTGTGTTGCGGGTGCTGGAGATTGCGGATGACTGGTCATTGCATGCGACTTTCATCGTGTAACCTTGGTGCCCCAACGAACCGTAAAAACGTGAAAATATCCGCAAAACTATCCCTTTTCGCAATTTGCGTTTTTGCGCCTGCTCGAATTATCAGCAATTGACCACTGATCTGCCTCCGTCAATTACTGATTTGCAATCCGATGATTAAATGGTAGCATCTGAGAATCCCGTTTCGAGGAATGCCATCGACAATATCTTTGAATGGCTGTCACCTCTTCTCGATGTTTCACATGAAACTTTCCGGTTCTCATGACTGGAGGTCGGTGGCTGAATACTGATGTGCAGTGAAACTCAATGAGAGAAGTAAATGCAGCCTAAAGAGCCAGTTTAAAGAGATGAAAGTCTGACACACCAAGACGGCCGCAGCCAGGCTTTGTTTCTGCGTTGTAAAAGCTGATCGTATTTGTGTTTTTACATGTAAAAATAGTTTTACGTTTTTACGCCTAAAAATGCGTAAACATACGTAAATACAAAGTGAAAACTGCCTGGTGTACATGAGGACAGCACATACAGACTTACGGAGTCCGGAGAGTGGCAGCTAGACGCCCTGGAAGGGGCAGATAACGAGCTTTTGTTTAATGTCATTATAGCCCTTGCCAAGGGCGAGGTGGACATTGTGTTGCAGGTGCTGGAGATGGCGCAGGAATGATCATTGTAAGCAACTGTCATCATGTAACCTAGGTGTCCCAGGGAGCCGTAAAAACGTAAAAATAGCTGCAAAAATAGGCTCTTTTGCAAACTTACGTTTTTGCGTGTAAATACGTAAAAGCAAATAACCAAGCCTGGCCGCAGCTGCCATGTTGTGCAAGTACCCGTTCATGTGCTGGCTGACTGGTGCACATATTGACATGATTGAGATCGCGGGAGGACAGCTGGCCAACAATCAGCTTCAATCCTACTAATTTGGTGATCGTGAGCTGGTACCATGAGTTTGGGCCGTGGGTCGTTTCCACGGGTCGATGCTATGGGTCGGTGCTCTGGGGTAGCGTGTTGCGCGTGTGCAAAGTGTGAGTTGAATCCGGCGATCTGAGTGAGAGTTGCGGTGGGCGAAAAAAGAGGCGCATTCTGGTATGTAAAGAGAGCCCGAGACTTGTTCGTGGCTTCTCTTGGTTTAGTCGTAAGACAAGCTGAGCCTTGGCTGCTTGTCCGACCATGCACGGTGAGTGCATTCGAGCACTGCGTGCACAACGTTGCCACAGAGCTCCAACCAAGTCGGTTTGGCTTGTGCTGCGTTGTGGCCCATCGCTGCGCGCATTCGATTGTGACGAGCGGGACCTCCAACTGGGATGGCTAAGGAACTTCAACATCGCCTAAAAAGGTAAACGTAAAAACGAAAACGCAAATACCAAGCCTGCTCCCGACTGCGTCTGGGCATTGCATCCGCAGGCCCCTGGCTCCCCGAGCTCCAATCTCAGAGGCTGAGGTGGAACATACTACTTTCAACATAGGTGGCCACCTCCGAAATGAGACCCATATTCATTCTGCCATCTTGTTCCATTCAACGGCATATTGTGATTTGTTTATGAATGTGGAGTATGTAGGCGTGTTTAAGTTTCAAGGTGTGCATATGAACACGCAATTAAAAGCATGATAACTGCATATGAGCACGCAGAACCTGTTTGGCACGTTGCCACGCCGCTTCCTTTCAGGGCTCAACTCCTACAGGAGCGCGACCTCCTCCCACTGTGGGATTGCCACATGGTATCTGGCACTTCCCCGCAGCACACAGCAACCCTACATCCGATGACGCTGGCCAGGTGGCAGAAATGGCGGTCATTGCCACCGTTTACAGCGCTGCCACAACGGAATCACGCACTCTGTGCATCCATTATACTTCGAAGTATATCGAAGCCATTATATGTGGAGCTTCAACGCCATGTTGAGGTTCCTCGGCATCGCCACGACTTCCTCGATGCAACCATGAGAGCCCAGCTTCGCAGGTTTCGGAAACGCAGGTCGCAGCCACCTATACACAGGGTTGATGGACAACTGGGAAATTTTGTGGGAAACGTCTTTGAAGTAGGCGAATTCTGAAGTCTGCTACAAACCACAGATTGTTGCGTATTTGCAGCGTGAAAACGCAGTAGTTGCCAGACCGCTTAAATATCCACATGCATATGGTCATATGGCCACGTGGTGGAACCGTTGATGTGTCATTGCAACTCAAACTGCACTCTGTTCAAGGGCACATTGGCGGTTCGAAAGTGCAAACTGTGGTGAACCGCAGCTGCAAATACTGCGGACGGGGGATGAATTAATGTCCACAGAATTGGTGCACGAGTGGGCCTCCCACAGTCGACAAGCAGATGTCCAAGCAGAGGACACATTGGAGTCCATGTTCATCACCGGCACCGGCTTCTAGTGTCAACCCACTTCTGTGGAAGCAACCAATGGTTGTAGGCGAACGGAAAAAGCGGAAGGCGCAACGAGTAGCCCTGCCTTGCCACTCCAGTGGCGCAATTGTGTCACTTTGTGTTGCATTTTCACAATTATTGTTAGCCAACAACCTTGAACCAGCGTTGCGCTCTCCATGGCTACAGTCAATGTGCCCATTGGTCCCCACAAACGACCAAAGTTTGTATTTAATGCTGAAACGGGCTGGAATTTGTGCTAGTTGTGCTTGCGTGTCATAGGGGCCTCTATGTGCCAGCTACCCTGTCCCGCCCATGTGAGCAGTCGCATATATTTCTGGTGTGTGGCACAGCACAGATCGTTCAGCCCACCCCAGCCCAGTTGGAAAGGCCCCTGGTCTTATCCTGGAAATTCCTGCACGCAGTGTGCCCATTTTAGCAAGCAAATCGCATCGGCAGCCCATCGAAATGGCGCGCCATGGTTTCTGGGGTGCAGGTGCTTTCCCTCGCCAGGTTTCAGCAGGTCCCAGAGGTGCTGATGGGATGCGCACTGCACGTTGCACAGTACATACACCCTCAGGACTGTCCTTCAACCCTCTGCTTAAAGTTTCAAAGCAGTAATACTACCTCAACTTGTGTGTCCAACTCGCAAAAGCCAGCGATCCTTTCTCTGCCAAAGCCAGGCAATGTCCAGCGTTCATTCCCCAGCATGCCTCCCACAGTCCACCCTTTCAAGGCCCAAGGGCAGCGCCTGCCCTGCGGAAGCCAAAAGCACAAAGCCAAATAAGTCAATGCATCCCAACATAATTCAAGGAATTCCACAATGGGCGCCGTCTTCCTCAGCCCATCCCACGGATGACCGGTTGACAGCTCCAGCCATGATGCCCTCCCGCAGCATCCGCCCGATTCATTCTTGGCGCGTCCTGGCCTCCTCCTCAACGAGCTCGCGAAAGGATCGGTACCGGTGGGCGCCGGGAAGCCAGCTGGCGAAGAACCAGGCCTCCCACTCGCCCTTGGCGTCCTTCACCTTGGGGTTCAGCAGGATCACGCTGTCGTCGTACTCCTCGCTGATTTGCAGGCAGTGCGGCAGGTACTCCACCCTCACGTGCCCGGGGTCCTGGTCGTCACCGTACACGAAGTACTGCTCGTCAGCCACGTCCTCCCCGCCCCCCTCCCCCTGGAAGTCGTCGATCCACTCCTGGTTCTCCTCGGAGAACCACTTGACCTCCTGGACGGGCAGCACGTGGTGGCCGTGGGCGAAGCAGCTGAAGCCGTTGCTGTGCAGCAGGAACTGCCTGTAGCTCTGCGGCAGGGTCGTGCCCAGCCTGCGCTCCGCGCCCTCAATGGCGGCCTCTGGCGCGGGGTCGGCGCGCAGGCCGGCGCCTCCGGGATCCCCCGGCTGGGGGCGATCGTCCCCTTCGTCTTCCCACCCGGCAGGCTCCCTTTCCAGGGCCTCCAGGAGCTGCGGCCAGTCCATTTGACAAGGGATGAGCAGGTAGGGGCGGGACGCCTTTTGCGTAATTGAACGCAGCACGGCAGAAGGGAGTGGAGCGGCGAGGGGGCGGGGTGGGGTGGGGGCCGGGGCGCGGCTGTGGTGGGGGTCGAGATGCCTTCGTGTCGAGACGGGACAGCGGGTCCAGGGTGTGGCTACGGGGACCTTCCCGCGCTTATGTGGGCTGTCGTTGCGTCACCGAAACATCTCGCAGCCAATCCGTCTCCCAGGCCATCATCTGACGAGAGAATGCGATGCAAACAGTCTCTGACGGAGAACATACTGGTCCTTCTGCCTTCTCCGTGAAGATCCTTCTTCCGCTCACAAGGCCGATGTCGGTCAGTGGGTCAGTGGTTTAGAGTTTGGGCTGTCCGAAACAAGAAGGGATCTTCACGGAAAAGGCAGGGCGACTAATTGTGTGCCTCCGTGAAGCCGTCAGCGTGTGACGGTGCATCTATTGTTGCAGTTTTATCGAGCTTGGGGTGACATTAAGGCGACTTTGCCGCGCTCGTGGTCAGATTGTCGTTGAGCGCCATTTCCCCACAGCCTACCCACGCACTTACTGCGAGCTGCTTGGCGTCCATTCTTACGTCGATGCAACATCATATTCCGTGTTGGCCGATGGTTTATCGGAACCCTTGTTGAGCGCCCCATCGCCGATGGATCTCCAGGTCGTCGCGTGCCATGCACGGATGAATGGACATCTATTGATACCAAGACTTGAGTGTGTACTGCAGCCATGGTATTGGTTGCCGAACTGCCACAAAACAAATGAGTGCACAATGAATTCTTGAATGAACAAATTCCTATGGTACAAAAGAGAGTGTTTCGTGTCCACAACCAAACAAATGGGCTTGTCAAAATGTGGCACCTATGTTTGCTTCTGGTGAGGATGCTCTGTGTGTCCGACATATACGAGTGAGCTGGCACAAATGACTTTGTATTTCCCGTTGTAAACTTTGCTGAGGAAAATGACTAACATCCTCAACAGGTGCTGCAATCCCATTGTGTAGGCAGGGTCTTGGCAACAGTGTGTTCTAGTGAATGCATCGTTCGATCTGGGGTGCATGAACACGGCATGGGATCGTTGGGGTGCAGAATCTAACAAGTAAAGGCTTTGGATGTTAAGCATGTTCTATACACTAACTGTTCTATTTAAGCTGAGTCAATGATGAGCTGCATAACTTGGCTTCACGTTGCCACACGTAGAAGGCAATAAATGTCAAGACAAGCGCTGACAGCGCCAATGTCATTGCACTCACGATTGCAGGAATAGGCTGCCTGTGAGGGTGCATATGAAACCATCACAAAAGCGAAGCAAAAATCTTTTCCGAATCGCATGGCCGCAGGTGCTGCACAACATCGTCCTATGCTTACACATGGAGTAGCAATTGACAGAAACCAATGCTGGAAACGGCGAGCTCCTCCCCCCCCTCCCTCCCTCTTCCGATGCTCCACAGCACTTTCAAAGTGTGAAAACGAGCGGTACAAGCAATGAAAGAATCCTTCGTCGCCATTGATCCCGAACGCTTGCTTCCAACGTTGGCCGATGAGGAAAATGGGCACACGTGCAGTCTGCACTGCGGTGGAAGGCAGCACTGAGACACCAACCAAGCAACTTTCCACCTTTCGTCTGATGGGTCGATCGCTGGCGATATCTCACCGTTTGGATCATTTCGAGCGGGGACAAATGAAAGGATGCAAGCGCTTCTGATTGATTACCAGCCCGCGATCGCCAACATTGTTGCAAAGGCATTCTGCCGTGTCTTGTGGGACAATTGCAGTCACCGGCCCTCCAACTCAGTCCTTGCGCACTGCTGGCGAAAGGGGCGCGGCCTGGCGATCTCAACCCAGCACAGAAACGCGCCGCGACCAGTGCGTCATTTTACAAGTTGCTGCGGCTCATCGTTTCAGCGGATTCGCTCCCTCTCACCTCGTCCTGGGCGCCAGCGACACCGCTGGATCCCGCCTCGCAGCATGTGGCAGTGCCCTCGGACGCCCACGAAGCTCACGGCCGGTCGCTTAGACCCCGGCGGGGCTGGCAGTCGCGTCCAGTGCGGGATGGTGGCAAGCTTTGCTGGAAGAATGGGCAATAAAGTCACGCCCATTCTTCACTACTTCCTCTGGGCATCGTCAACGCACCGTGGGGTGCTGTGCTCTTGTGAAGGCCGGTGAGAGAAAGGGACACCACAGCAAGTGATGGTCCTTTTATCCTTCAGCGAGTAAATGAACGTTATGTCCGTGTCATGTTCTCTTGCAAGCCCACGGTGCTGACCCGTGCCATGGGACCAAAACGCGCCGAGACAAAAAAAGCGAAAAATGCATGGTAGAAATGCGAGAAAAATGCGAGAAAGCAAGAAATGCACCCGGATAGAAATGTTGGGTGACTGCACGCCAAATGCGCCTCGCCATCGCCCTCCGCGCCTTCGGCACTCACAGCTCAGGGCGAGCGTCGCCTGCGGCCTCCGCCGAGCTGCGCGCAAGGGTCTGGGGCGCCCGGCAGGCCCCCCGAGCTGACACGCCCTTCGGGGCCGGGGCCGCATCGCCATGGCGACCGTCATGCAGAAGATCAAGGACATTGAGGATGAGGTGGGTGGCGGGGGTACTGGGTAAAGTGCAGATGCTGAACTATTTATTGTGGCGGCTTGCTGCATTGGACCACTTTACTGTGCAAGACGGGAAGGCCAGGGGAGCTTGAAGTTAGCAGGATGCTGATGACATTGTTTGATTGCTGCCGTATGTAGATGGCACGGACTCAGAAAAACAAGGCTACAGCTGGCCATCTGGGTCTCTTAAAGGTGAGGTCATTCTGTACACCAAGGACTTCCACACTGCTAGTCACCTTCTGATCATTTCATAGTGCAGCTGGGAAGTGAGACATTCAGGGACTCCAGGACTGACCCTCCTCTTGGGGACTGCCTCAGTCACAGGATGCTTACAAATCTTCTCAGCTGCAAATTGTTCTCCCCTTTTCCTGCGACTTCGAAGCTGCCCAGCACTCCGTTCTGTGCATCTCGCATTTCAGCTGGGAAGAGGAACTGTGGTATTACTCTGCAGCCAAAGGCCCACTCAGCCAGGGGCTTTTGCAATTTTGGATTACCAAAACAAAGATCCAAAACAAGGGAATAACAAGTTGGGTCAGCAGCCAGTTGGCACTCTCTGCCGAAGCAAGTCCATGCCGGCTCTGCCATGCTGCAGTTGGGCATGACCATTTGTCTGTGTTCATGCTGTGCTTCAATTCACAAATATACCCGCGTTGCACATCAATGGATCCCAATACTCGCCTTGGATGATTGTGGAACAAACTGCAAGTGCCCTTTTGTGTGGCATCTGGTCGTGCTTCACAGCCAAATTGCAGTTGGCTGTTCTCAACTTTCAGCATGGCTTCTAGTTTAGCTATTTGTTCCACCATCAAGCACCCTTTTCAGGCATGAAGGAACTGGCAGCTGACTTGCAGTTGTTGAGCATGCCATAGGCTAAACTTGCCAAGCTACGACGAGAGTTGCTTGAGCCCACATCATCGTCTGGAGGAGGGAAAGGCGAAGGTGGGGGAAAGATGCTGTGACAGGCTACAAGGAGTAACTTTTACAGACGTTTCCAACATATAGATGCGACTGTCACTAGACGTGGGGGTGTTTCTGCTCTCTGTGCTGCACTGCCAGAGGTTGTGGAGCAGTGCTTAGCTGTTGCATTTTGTCAGTGGATGTGACAAACCACTACCATTGCACCACCAGCGATTTTACACCTGCCAGGCTGCTGCAGGTATCACCTGTTCCTTAAAACTGTTAAATTGCCTCAAGTTTGCATGATGTGCGATTGGTGATAACGGCTTAGGGTGACGGTGATGGTTGTACATTTCTAGTTGCCTTTTACCATCATTGCATCTCGAGCAAGTAGATTTCATTCAAATCTATTCAGTTTTGAGCACTGCAGAAGATGTTAAATCCAGGCCTGAGGCACCTTCTTATCCTGCACAGTGCTCCTGGGGATACTTGAGGAGTGTTTCACCGAACAAACATGTGCTTGCTGCACCTGACCTCGTCCTCCCCATTCCCCTCCCCCTCCCCATCCCCAATTCATGCGTTGAGGGCTTGTGTGCTTGCAAATCTATTTGCAAGGGCTGCCCTTGGCAGTTTGGGGTGCTGACGCAATGTACTGTTGCTCTGCAGGTTTCGATGTGAACAAAGTCGGGGATGCACGAATAGGCCTGGTTGGTACGGTGATCAGTCTGGCTGTGACTCTGCTTGACTTGAACCTACTGTGCCTTCTAATAGGAGCAGGATGATCTGCCGCCTTCACAAACTGCACACATACACTGGGCACGATTTGCCATATGCTGTGAAAGCTTATTTATCAGTGGGTGCTGTTGTCCTGGTCATGTCATTTGGTCATCTGAATAGTATCACATGTCAAAAACCATCAATAACAGTTGGGGGAGCAATAGCACTCGTGGCTATTCAGCCTGAGCGGTGTTGTTTGCGCCCTTGTGCTATTTGCACCCCGAATAGCACCGCCCGAGGCCAAATAGCATTCCAGAATAGCACATGGTGCTACTCGTGCAGAACATTGCAGTGGTGCACTTATGCTATTCGGCATAGTAAGAACACCCAATGTTACGAATGGGCGCTGGGGAGCAATACTGGGAAGCAAATGCTGCCTTTCGTATGTTGGCAACGCATTTAATGAGAACTGTCCCTGAAATGCTCCGCCGATGAAGATGCTCTTAGTATCCCCATTTGTGCTCTCGATCAGGCTTTCCATCGGTTGGCAAGTCCACTTTGCTGACGAAGCTCACGGGCACATTTTCTGAGGTGGGTAATTGCACACTGAACAACACATGCACTGGCCAGTTTCGCCATTGTTATAGCAGGTGCTGCTTTCTTTTGTGTGCATTTTCTGACACCTGGAGACTTCTGCACACTGTGTTCATCTTCACACTGTGGAGCAGGGAATCGAATATCAAGTCAGCGAGGGAGATGCCCATCGCATGACATGCTGTGTCTCTCCTTGAGGACCACAAACCCTATCCACCTGTGCTGCACTGTGTTTTCGGTTTTGGTTTCAAAACATGTAATAACCTGTGTCTACACATTTTGTACTATGGCGAAACAGAGGCCATGCAATGTTGTGACACAAGCAGCCTTGCTGCAGCTTAAGCATCAAGGAACAGCACGGTTGGTGAAAAACTGGTCAGTATTAGGCCCTTCATTGGGCTGCACACTGTGCGCTACTGTGCACCCATGTACTTACAATTCTTGCAGAGAGGCAGAAGCCCAATGGGTGAAACCCCCAAAGGCATCTGAGGAACCCACACTACTGTCAGTGCCCCACCATGGCTGTGGTTGCACAGGCTGTGTGCAATATCCCACAAACACATCGTGCAAGCAGCACACAGGCCTCCATATCTGCTGTCCACAGTGGACAGCCACTGTATTGTGTAATCTGTGCAGCTTATGGGTGATGGCCATGGGACCAGTCAGTGCCGCTACCACGACTCTGGCTAGGAGCATGCTCTCTGGTGCTGGATCTTGTCTCCATAACATTCTCATTTGAATTACCTGTGCAGGTTGCTGCCTACGAGTTCACTACCCTCACATGTGTACCAGGCATGATTCGATACAGAGGTGGGCACTGGGGATGGGCCAGCTTGCCCCTTTGTTCGTCCTGCCACAGGCGCGATGAAAAGGGCCATGAATGGCGGGTATTGAATCGGCCATCAAGCACCCCTGCATCCACCACATGGGTCCACCACAGAAAACTCTGGATTTTGGACTCAGCAGTTCAGTTTGTCTGTGTCCACCTTTATTTCATTTGTGAAGTAAAATGCAACAATTCACTGACGTGCTGCCTTCTGTTTGGTGCTGGGTTTCTGCCCCTATCTCACCATTCGTGTCATCTCATCTCCTCCCTTCAAAGCTTGTGCATGGGAGTGCTGCCGAGTCGATGTGCTGTGCACAGAACTGGCAAAGTGTGACTAATTTCGTGTTGTTTCCGTCCTTGTCTAGCAGTGTTGAATTGCTGAAGAGACTTGGTCAATGGTGTACTGTACACTGTATGTGCCGCAGTATATTGTAGCTTACCATAGTATGCCACACTGCATTGTGGCGGACTGTAGTACTCTGTGTTTGAATGGGGCACAATCATGCTGCTCTCAAGCGCGTTTTGATGCCACTTTGTAAGTTGAAAATTTGTTGCAGCTTCAGTGGCTGTGTGGCATTCTTATTGGTGCGTCACCTTTCACCTTGCACCCCGCCAAAGTCACGGTTCCACTGTTACCAGAAACGACTTGAGAACTGCAGCAGCCCAATCAGCACCACTAACACTACCCGCTTGAGCATCGGCCCTGTTGGGCTCACTGGTACCAACAATGGCCACATGTGCTTGTCGCAAACAGTGACAAATCTGGCAAAGTAATTGGTTTTGAGTTCCATCCTAGTTAATCAAACAATAGTAAATCCGGCAATCTCAGTATCTTCTTGCTAAAACAGTAGGAGGAACACATTTGACCAGCTGTTGTCTTACCCACATGGTTTGAGATGTTTCTTGGATTTCCTTTTGTTGCGAGCCTCTGGAAGGCGATGCCACGGTTGGATGGCTACTGTGGCATCAGTGCTGACAAAGACAGTTGTTCTGCTTTGGCAGGTGCAAGAATTCAGCTGCTGGACCTTCCAGGTATTATTGAGGGTGCAAAGGACGGCAAGGGTCGTGGACGACAGGTAAGGCCAGCCTGTGTGCGGTGAAGCTCCGTGGACAATGGTCATGAAAAGGCCATGCCAAACATAGCTGTTGAGCTTTACTGTTGGTCGTGGGTGAAGAGATGTACCACCAGTTTGTATTAATTGTCGCAGTGTCACAATTCTGCAGGCTACTCTGTTGCACGACAAAAAGCGGTGGTAGGCAGCATTAGCATAACAGCTGTTGAACATACCGGATTGGTCATGGTTTCCTGTGCAGCCATGCCAACAGTCAATGCCAAGGTCATTTTTTGTGTAATAGGCATTGTTCCACACACAACACCTTCTCTTTCCAATAGAATTCCTTCTTGCAAACCGTCAGCCCAGCTCTCGATGTACTGAAAGGTGTCTGTCCACCTATCATAACTGCATGGACTCGTGAATGCCTGGACTGACTTGATTTCCTGCACATGCTTCGCGGGACTCTTTTTCTAAATTTTTTCAAGGCTTGCATTCCCTGCAGGCCCGCCTGCAGCTGCCTGAACAGCCACAAATCCAACTGGCCATCTTAATTAAACTGGAGGTGTAGTACAGCGGTGCTGCCGAACAAAATGCAAAGTTGAGGAAAATGATCAAGTGAAATTGGGTAATATCGAGACGGTCAGAGATTTAGTTGGCCATCGTTCGTTAGTACAATCTTCAGCTTGCCCCACCCATTTTCTTTTTATTCTGAAGCTTGTAGCTTTGAAATCAATGCCACCGCCCACATCAGCAGCTGTGGAAAGAGTAGACAGCCCCTTCAAACCTGTGTTCTGACTTTCTACGCATTGTGCTTCATGGTTCTCTTTGTATTGCGCACGCCTGCAGCTTCATTTTCTGTATATTTGCTTGCGTAAATGATTACTAATTAGTTGCTTAATTGCATTATGTGTTTTTCCTCAATCATTCAACTGTATTGCTTGTCAATCATCATGCCTGCGCTCTTAGGTCATCAGTACCGCCCGCACCTGCAACCTCATCCTCATCGTGCTGGATTGCCTGAAGCCCATCACCCACAAGAAGCTCATCGAGAAGGAGCTGGAGGGCTTCGGCATCCGGCTGAACAAGCGGCCGCCCGCCATTACCTTCCGGAAGAAGGACAAGGGCGGAATCAACTTCACGTCCCAGGTCAACAACCCCCAGCTGGATCTGGAGGCCGTCAAAGCCGTGTGCTCAGAGTACAGGTGGGCAGTCATGGCAGCGAGTGAGGCCATTGGAAGCCTTGAGTTCAACGCTGAAGTGCACTGTCGAAACTGGCGTTTCTAACAGCCTGCGCCTGAAATTTAGGACTTGCTGGTTTATCTTCTTTGTCATTAACAACATCTTTTGCGCTGTCATGGTTGTTTATTTCAAAAACGTGTCCGAAAAGGACATGACGTGGTAGAGCCGCATGTGCAACTTTCATCTCACAGTGCAGGACACAGTATTCTGGATTTTTTTATGAGATGGCATCAATGAACAGAAGAAAGGGCAACGAATGTGGCCACAATTGTCGCAGGTGCCACAATGCAGACATTCACCTCAGGGAGGACTGTGACGTAGACGACCTGGTTGACGTCATCGAGGGCAGCCGTGTCTACATTCCCGCTATTTACGTCATCAACAAGATCGACCAGATCAGCCTAGCAGAGCTCGATGTGCTGGACCGTTTGCCGCATTACTGCCCTGTGTGCGCATACCATGAGTGGAACCTGGACGGACTGGTGGAGATGATCTGGGAGTATTTGGACCTGGTGCGATGCGGCACCATGATGCAGTTTTGCAACACTGTTTCTAGCCATTTGGTGTTTCTTTGAAAATTGTGTACAATGTAGATAAGTCTGTGGGTGACGAGCTACCTTGTTGGGGTGCTGCTTTCGTAGACTGCATGTTGTTGATACAATCCATTGACAATAGGATTGCACACTTGAAAGATATGCCCTTGAATGTTGAACAGGCAGCCTAAAATTTGAACAAACTCATTGCCTTGGTAGAGGGTGCCCCTCCAATGCTGAAAGAGCTTCATGTTGTGAACCATGAACGTCCGAGCACAGCAATGCCAAAACCACATATGCACCTGCTCCCACTGCCCATATGCTTCAGTCTGCATGGCAACATCGCATCACTTGATCACATTCTGCGGGCTGCCTCCAGGTGCGCGTCTACACCAAGCCCAAGGCCAAGCTTCCCGACTTCAACGATCCCGTTGTGCTCCCACGCAACCGTTGCACCATTGAGGACTTCTGCAACAAGATCCACAAGGCGATCCTGAGGCAGTTCAAATACGCGCTGGTGTATGGGACGAGCGTCAAGCACAGGCCACAGCGGGTGGGACGGGAGCACGTTCTGGAGGACGAGGACATCGTGCAGATCATCAAGAAAATTTAATTGAAAACACGGTGCCCAACAAATCGCGCCTGGCAAATTGTGCAAATTGTGCGAATTGGTACAACGGCCTGCAGGGACGTGCAGATGCGCGCATTCCCAGAGTGCTGGACTGGTTGCATGATTGGCCTATGTGGTGTCTCCTGCTGAATGAATTGGCTGTGGCACTAGGCCGTTGCTGGTCCTTGATAGTGCACAATAAGGCTAGGAATGGATGAATGGCTTGCTTGCCTGACAAGAAGGCTCTAAGGATCGCCGACTGTGGGATGCGAAGTGTAGGAGCAACGGGAATAGGAGGGTCTATTGGTATTGGTTTGCCTGGCTTAGTTGTTGTCCAGTGTTGATTTCGCTGGGCTTAACGTAGATGGTGTGATCTTTTGGCTTCGATTGGATTCCATGTTGCATGCGCAGGGGTGGAGATGGACAGGAACTAATTGGTTCTTGCTCAAGGCGTAGAAAATCGTTGCAGTTGCTTGAATGTTTCGGGCTGCTCAACCGCATCCCAGGGCTCATCCACCGAGCAAAGCTACAAACCAGAGCCTAGTGTTTGGTGTTTGGAACCCGGGACGCTGGGTGATCATTATTTGCTGCTGAGGTTTCCTTCCCTTTCGGACGCTCCCTTGCCTGCCAAATTCATGGTTTCGGTCAGTTCACACATAGCGTTGAATGCCACAGCGGGGACTTTGGCGAAGGAGGCCTGAATCCACGCCCGTCTTTGCAAATCATGTCCACAGTGTGGATTCCACACTGGGAAATGCAGGCCTCCAATGCAGCAGAATGGGTTGCAAGAGGGACTCGGAAGTCGCCACATTTGGCTGCCACACCATGGCTCCATGTCATTGACTCAACCAGAACTCGAGCGCAGGGCCTACTGAAATAGTGCCCTCTGCTGCAATTGTTTTATCACCAGAGAGCGCCACTCGCACAGGTGTTCGAGCGCATTCCAAATACGTCCGGGAAGATGTGTTGCACCAGGCTGTTCGCGTTCGTGTCAACAGGCCTGGCGACTGGTTCTGTACGTCACGTTATTCAATCCAACCGGTCACCCCAACAATGGCCAATGGTGCGTGCCGCACGCGGAAAGAGGAGGTGCGCTAAAAAGTTCCGACGCCGGGACTTGAACCCGGGTCTTCCGGGTGAGAGCCGGAGATCCTAACCACCTAGACTACGTCGGAATATATTTAACGAGGCTCAGGAAGACAATATAATTTGCAAATCAGTTTGAATTTACTTTCATTTTTCATACCTGTATGGCTCTGAACAGAGCCCAAACCTAGTTGGGCTTCCAGTGCCGACCTCCGTACATTATTCAGCGCAATACCTTGCTGCTGGCGAGGGGCCGTCAATTTTGCAACAGAAAGCATGGCATGCAAGCAAACATCCGGACCACTCCGTGCCCCGAAGCCATCGCAACCGAATGCAGGTCCTTCCCTCACAAGACCCCAAGCCGCCGGTTCCTTGGGGCACACTCCATCAAGCGCCACGTTGGCGCCACCGAACCATTCATTTTCCAAGCGATAGAAACTCCGTGCCTCCGCCAAACCCCTGAGCGGCCGCCCCCAATCCCATGCGCGCCGCGGGGCACCTGTTCGCTCGACGGACCGCCTCACCCGCCCTCCTCAGCGCCTCACCCGCCACCCGCCTACCCGGCATCCGCTCCCCGCCCTTCTCCATTTTCTCCTCCCAATCCGCAGATCCCCCTGGGGCGATCGATCTGCCCATCAATCGCCAGCCCCTAGGCGGCGACCGGCCGCCCTTGCGGATCGCGAAGCCCGATCGCGGCGACTGGCGGGGGGGAAAGGGCGGGCGGGGGCCCCCGTCGTCCCCCGAGAGGTTGGAATCCGTTCTGGGCGCCCTGGGGCGCCTGGGCATGAGCCGGGGCCAGGCGCTCGGCGCATTGGCGCGATGCCCGCAGCTGTTGGAGCACCGCGACACGGGCCGGCTGGTGGAGCGGGGGGAGTGGCTGCGGGCGGAGCTGGACGCGGGGGAGGCCTTCGCGGCGGAAGTGTTGGTGAAAGATCCCCTGGCGCTCGTCAAGAGGCAGGAGACGCTGAGGGCCAAGATAGAGTACCTGCTTTCCGAGGGGTTCACGAGGGCGGACATAAGGCGATTGATAAAGTGCAAGGCCAACGTGCTGTCCAAGTCGCTGGCGGGCCTGATGGAGAAGATGGAGTACCTGCGGCGCGCTGGCGTGCCCCGGGAGAGGCTCGCGCGGCTGCTGGTGATGTACCCGCAGGTCCTGAACCTGTCCATAGAGGGGAACGTGCGGCCCACCGTGGCGTGGCTGGAGGGCGTGGGCGTGCGGGACGGCGACCTGGCGGCCGTCCTGGCCAGATTCCCCAACGTGCTGGCCTACTCCGTGGAGAGGAAGCTGAAGCCGGCGGCCGAGTGGATGGCGAGGGCGGGGTTGAATGGGGAGGCGCTGGCGTCGGTGGTGACGAGGTTTCCGCAGGTGCTGAGCTGCTCTCTGGAGAAGCTGGAGGGGAACCGCCGGCGCCTGGCGGCTCTGGGAGTGGGCGGGGAGGACTTTTCCAGGGTTTGTCGGATCAATCCAACGCTGTTGGGGTGCGCATTGGGGGGGCCGGTGATGCGGGCGAAGGTGGCGTTTGTAGAGGACCGCCTGCGGCTGCGGCCCGGGGAAGTCATAACGAGGTTCCCGGGCTTCCTTGGGTACTCGCTGGACGGCCGCCTGGTGCCTCGGTTGAGACATATGGAGGCCATTGGCTGGCCCGTCACGCTGAAGAATTGTTCTGCTGTGTTCGGCTTGCCGGACGGAATGTTTCTAAAAAAGTTCGTCAGGACTGGGGAATAGATTCGCCGTTGGATTCACCGCATTTTCTCCTCAGATTCTGATCAGGCATCGAACGAGTAGGAAGTGCCAGATTATATTGCTCAATCTGCCTTCAAGAACCACAGCAGGTCCCTTGCGCCTTGGAGGCGTTGACAGGCATGTGTGCGGCCAAAAAACAACTCTGTTCCCATCCGTTCATGCTCACTCACTGGCCGACCAAGTAACAGGCGCAACTGCCACACAAATTTTGTGTTTTTGCAGTGTATTTAGTGTCAGGAAGGTATGTCCACATTATTTTTGGTTGCAGCTGTCAAGGTTGAGAACTCATTCACAGCTCTTAGCAGGACGATGCAGGTGACCTAACATGTGATTGCTCATGCATTGCTGCCTAAGCTTGCAGCAAAGGCATTGCCATAAAGGCAAACGAGCCACTGCGATGCTTTCAACGATATTGCTGCAGTGTTGCCCTTTCATCGAGAAAGGCTCTGCTGGTGCAAACAATGGTGCCCCTCAACTTGGATTGTTGCTGCATGTGGGCCCATTGCTGCTCAGACACAGCCATGGACATTTGGGTTGTCTGCTTTTGCAAAGCACAGTAAGCTCTATAGCGAGCAGAGTGGTTCCAAAGTCCACCAACACACTGAAAACATCAGCAGGCACCGCAAAAGCAGCTACACAAGTCAGTCAATAAACGAAGCGCCTGCAGACACACTTGCCCACTCAAGCTTTCTGACAAGAGTCTGATATGCGCTAGGGCAGCGCACTTGCATGACATCAACCACATCATACATCACTATGTAACAAAGCAGAAAAGATGGAAAAAAGGAAAGGAAAGAAAGAAACTAGCGACGCATTTTACTTCAGCGTACCACTACGATACTCCTCTTACTTCTACTGATGCCGCCAGGGTCGAACGAATAGGGTGCAAGGGAAGTGGTCTTACACGGTGTGCTCATTGCACACTTACACCGCATTCGTTGTTGAATAGTCAAATGGCAAGTTAATGAATACATACTTACGATCTCACTCCGTGCTGCATGGAGTAGCTGGCCGGTGCCTGGCCGGCCACCAGGGAATGGAAGTCATTATGCGATGAGGAGTCATAACGCTTCCCAACCCAAAAGGCTGGATATCCTTATCAAGCCTTCCTTCCCAACCAAACAGATCGACCACGGAGTGAAAACAAAGGAGAACAAAGGAATTAACGAGTGAATTGTGTTGTAGGAAGAAACGTGGGATGACGATGTGGAGAGCTGGGATAGGAAAGAGCGAACCAAAGTGGCCACCAGGGCAGGTCAGGCACAAGTCAGTGTAGAGGAGTGCCGAACCATGTACAAACAAGGATTGAGCACAGCAGCAAATTTGGGGAGGCAATGTCGAGCATTCAAGACAAGGCAGGAGGAAGAGTGCCAGGTACAGCAGTTACAAGAATTTCTGGAGAAACTGCCACTGAAGAAAACATTAGATAACTGCACACCCTACGATGTACTCGTATACATGACAAAAGAATGGATGCCAACACATGGAAGAATACCGATTAGGAAAGAAGGAGGGGTTTGCATCAAGAGGGCAGCACCAGGAACATTAAGTGGAACATTGTCACATCTGGCACAATGGTTTGAGCGACGAGGGCGATCTGGTGACTGGAATGCTGGAGTAGGGAATCCAATCAAGCATCAAAGCATACAAGAACTGAGAAAGGGGTACCAAATCGATATGCAACGAAGCGGATATACAGAAGCCGCAGCAGAGCCCATGAGTTGGGCGAAGTACCAAGATATGCAAAGAAGATTGGGCAACGCAGTGATGCAGGAGTGGCAAAAGGGCAGTATAGAGTTTGATGCAACAACATATCTGCACCTACGAACGCTGGTGGTGTCGGCAATGATGTGGTCGACATTTCAACGACCAAAGACGATCGGCGAAATGCGATTGTATTGGCTGAGAAAACCGGGCGGCCAACAACGCGAATTAGCATTGACGGAGCAAACCTTGATGGATGGGCAGGTTTGGCAGTTAGACGTGTCATGGATTAAGAATCGCCAGAGGCAGGACGCAGGAAGTATCACACTACATGTGCTGCCAGTAGATTGGTGGTTTATATGTCCGCTGCGATCATGGCAGATGTTTTTGCTTTGGAATAAAAAGTACGGAAGGCCAATTACCGACTATGTGTTTCGCACATTCCGGCGGGGTACGGATCAATTAGAAGAAAAACCAGCGAATACCGATGTATTGCAAAAATCGTTCCAAGGCCTACTGAGGAAATGGGAGATGCAAGGCCAAGAAACACTGTATAGTTTGAAACGAGGGGCGATGCAACATGCGTACTATGAGAGAGGAATCCCGATTGAAGATATAGCTGGCCAAGCGTTGATTACGGTGGAAACGGCCAAAAGATACTTGAAACGTACCAAACATTTGAGGGGGCACAGGACATTGTAATGAATGTAAAACATGGGAAAGGAAGATTGACAAATGCATGAAGAAAAGACACCACGTGGAGTCCAGAATCAAGGCCATTGAATCAAATAGGCTACTAATACAAAGGTCTGTTGAAATTCAGACCGCACAGCTGTCTTAGGATACCGAGGACCCAAACGCACCAAACCTTTATAATTCGGCAACATCCATGATGCGACTATAGGCAAATACTCGGGACGCAATTGTGCACGCCAAAACGATGACCAATTAGGGGCGATCAGCACGCCGTCACACCGATCATCTTTAATTTTCTTGATGATACGTCCCATTTGGTCATAAGGACCAAATATCCAACAGAACTCCTTGGTGCCGATTGAAGAGTAGCGCCAATTATATCGAAAAGCATCACTACCACTTGAACCTGGACACAAGAACTTCGAGTAAAACCTATGTGCCTTTGCACAACCGGTATCCCCACTAGCAAATAGATCGATAGTAAAGCTAACGTGCCATCTCTGCTGGATTTGAAGCACCATTCGACTGTCCATCCAAATGTCAGAAGCATCTTTGACCTTAGAAAAGAAATCCGCCACCACTTGCTCAGTTTCTGATCGAGGTCTCCACTCATAATCAACTTCCACACCAAACTTGTTGGCAATAGTATACGTGTTGACAACTTCCTGAAAGATCATATCGACCGGCGATCGCATATTCAACAAATCAGCGACTGCCCCCTGGCTGTCCGAGAAAAATACAAGGCGACCGTGAAGCACCCGATGCGGATAGTGCTCAATCATTGCTTCTAAAACTTTCCGCATACCCAAAATCTCGCGAAATGTGCTTGATTGCAAATGACCATGTATATATAATTCTTGATCTGAGAAGGATAAGACAATGGGTGGAATATCTAGGAAATCCGGAACATGTGCTCCAATCCCAATATCTGATGCATCACAAATGATTCTAATATATGCATCGCGCTTCCACAATCTTGAGCCATTGTAAAGATCGACGTGTTGCAGCCACCATTGCAGAACTGCCTTGACCCGCTGAGGATTGGGAAAGACAAAGTCCCACTTTTGGCTATAAATCATCGTCTTGTACAAATCTCGAACAAACAATGGGGCCTGTTGTATTGCGGGTCGGAAAGATATGATTTTGCCAGCAAGTTGAGCTAATTGACGATTGCTCAACTCTGCTGCAGCAAGAAAAGTACGAGCTAAGACCTTGAAACCCTCTAATTTATCCATAGGAACCTCAAACTTGCCAGTATCCAAACAAATCAACATGCCTAAGAGCTTAATCCTCTGCGATGGGATGAGCTGTGATTTTCCGACCCCTATAAAGAAACCGAGAAATACCAATATACGTACCACTATACTGCATTGTACTTTGGCCTGCTCTTTAGTCTGAGCTACCCCGAATTCATCATCAAGCAAATACGACATTCGGATCCCAGCTAAGCGCAATGGTCTATACACTTCGCCCATAATAGTTGTGAACACCCTGCATGCGGATGACAAACCAAATGGCAAATGGGTGAACACATACACCTGCCCTTCAAATTGTATACCTAAATATGGCCAAGCTGACGAATGCATGCGAATGTGATGGTACCCACTCTTGAAATCAGTAGTATATGCAAACTCCCCTAAAGCTGCGAATTGAGGAACATCCAACAGTCGCTCATATTGCAATCTTTGGTATTCTACAAACCTATTAACATAGCGCAAATCTACCACTAACCTCTTCTTTGTAGACCCAACGACCACTGCCATTCCATTGACAACAATAGGGGTGCCCGCCGTTGTTGGATCCCACACTGTAATGGCACCAGTTTTCAACAAGTTCTGTAATTCTTCTGCCACAAATTCAGAATATATATCAACGGAAGATCGATTAGGAAATACGATCCTATGAGGTTCAGATCCACTTAAGAAAGCATCGACCTTGTCTATCCCTACTATTGGACATAGCATATCGCGTACTAACCTAATTTTGGTTTCAAAACCTGGCTGACTTTTTTGTTGTGCATCAAAAACACCACAAAATGACAATTTAACCCCTTCTCTAATCCATCAAAGCACTAATTGCACTTGCTTACGTTGGCGAAAGTTTTGAAAATATCGTTCCCATACTCTAACACGGGAATGAATGAAGCCAGCTTTGAAATGCTCCAGACTGGGAATGATGTTCAACAAGTCACTTAACCATTCTTGATCATCTTGCAAAACAACGGGGCGCTCATGAGCTGCATGTTCAAGCTTCTGCAACTCCCAGTCTAGGAAATTCAAAGCCACATCCTCACCAAGCAATGCACCTTGTGAGGCGCAAATGGGCAGCATCTGCTGAGTATCAGTATGCGATATCCAGGTCATAGGAGTATCCAATCTCCGTTGGAGTTTGATCTCCTCATCCTCCGCAAATTCCTCCTCCTCAAACCCCAGACTTTCTATCCCTTCCGTGGCACTGAACCTGGGCGCTGTGCGTTTCCCTGCAAGTCATGACCGTCCACTGATCTTCCACGTCCACCAGAAATACTCTCTCCTTGGTCATGAACGAAGCGGCACTCCAGGCCATAAGAACACCGACCTGTT